TATATATATAGGTGTATGTATTAGACTAATCATCCCACCCTTTCCAGCCTTCCAACAAGGCCACGAGGGTGAACCCATCATTCTTGTGAGAAACTGCTGGTGCTTCTTGTAGTGTTGAATTCTCCATTTCATTGTCAAAAAAGTATTTCTCGGTCTAACACTCAGGGCTAGGGGGTAAACGAGTCAAGTTGAGCTTGTGCTACTCTCAGTTTGTGCTTGATTAATTAATGGAGTTCGAGCTAGAACTGGAGCTTTATTTTACTAGTCCAAGTCGACAATGAGTCGGCTTGTTTAGCATGAAATAGAGAAAAAATATTAATGTATATTAGTTCTATAATGAGATGATATAAAATATTATTAATAAAAATATAAAATAGAGAAAGAATGATAGATTAATAGAGAAAGAATGAGCATTTCTTATATTATTAATAAAAAATCACTTGATATGAAATATAAAAAGTTAGTTTTTAAGCATTTTTAATATATTAAGGAAAAGTTTTTATTAATTATTTTTTAAATGAGCCAGCTCATGGGCTAATGAATCGAGTCGGGGCTGGCTTGTGCTTGACTTGTTAGCTCATAGAGCTCAGCCACTAACTGAATCTAACCCAAGCCACCTCTCTAGTCAGTTTGGCTGGCTTACACCCGTGGAGTACAAAATGACTTTAAAAAAAAAATAAAAAATTAAATAGTAAAAATAATTTGAGATACTTGAAGTATTTTTTTTACTATAATCATGACTCCTAATTATTATGCATATAAATTAACTTATTTAATATTAGATAAAAATAAACTTTGTATGTAAATTTTTCAAGAAAAAATTATATTCTTATTTTCTTTTCAAGTGAAAATATAAATAAAATAAAATAATCCAAAACAACCTATACTTTCATAAATAACTCGCACAATGACAGATTATTGTCTGGCATTTCATGAAGAAAAACACAATTATTAATTAGCGTTAACCAAAATTTTCATAAGGTGGAGTTCAATGGATTCAGATGACTGAAAATGACATTAAAACGACTTCAGACATATTTTTAAATAAGAAAATAATGACCACAAATGTAAATATACCATACAATTCACTCAATCGAACAAAGTACCAGATAATAAGATCATCTAAATTTGAGATTGAACAAATTTGATGGATTCAACCAAACTACACTGATCAAAATTAATTACATAATCCATGCCATCTTCTTCCTCAACAACCTATAGTTTCTAACATTTATGATTGTGATTGTTTGTAAAAATTTGAACCAATCTTAACATGTCAGAATCGTGACAGCCTAACCTTGGCCCCTATTTTCCCCTGCCACACTCAGTTACAAGCAAACCTTAGCCCAATTCCCCCACATAAATGGTGAAACCCCACCTCTGTTTTAATCTACAACAACCACTGCATGACCTCCGCCTATAGTCACAATTTAAGGGAGATCAAGTATTATGGTATCACTCTCCCCTCATAGATCTCCTTCCTCTCCAACCACCAAATGAATATATTTACTAATGGTCTTGTCTTTATTTCATCTTCTTCTTCCTCCTCCAGCAATTGTTGTTGATAGAGAATCTCTCTTGCTTTATTCTACTCTCTAGGTAGGTAACTGATGTGTGCTAGAAAATTCACAGTGATAGAGTAATGGATTATTGTCTTAGCGTTGTATGAAGATTCAGCGCACACATAGTTTGGCGTCTTCTGTGGGAAAATTTCAATAACACCACTAAAGTAATTACGAGGCTTACTATATGGCCACCGAACACAATATTTGTGACAATAGAGCATCCCGCTCTAACACTCATCATTCCAGGGAGCAGTCATGAAGTCAAGGGCGACATGCTTCTTCATCTTCACACTATGGAAGACATTATCTTATCAACGAAGGCGTTTTGGGTCCTTCTATAGAAGACCGAATGCGCAGAATGGAGGAGAGCTTGAGGCTTGAGAAAGAATTTTAAGCTATGATAAGGAGCTGAAGTCCAACACCACTCATGCAACCGTCAATCAACGTCGATTGCCATTGACCGCCATCGATCATCGTCAAGCACCGTTGACCACCGCCGACCGTCGTCAACCACCATCTGCCAACCTCCACCGATCCTCTTTGGCTGCCACCTAGTTCTTACATCAAGTTCATTCGCAGATCGATGTTGTAATTCGAAAGACCTTGTAACCCTTTCCTGCATGTAGGACAAGGGGTTTCTATCATGATCAACTTATAGTGGATTTTTTACAATTGAGCTAGACATTGTGTTTTTTTTTTATAAGTTTTCCACGTAAAAACTTCTGGTTGTTTTCTTGTATATGAGTGTGTGTTGAAATATAGTGCAACGCTAAGACGATAATCCATCACTCTAGCACTACGATTTTTTTAGCACGCACCCGTAACAATTGGTAACAAACTCTTTTCTCCTCTTTTATTTCCATTTGAGGGGTACACATTAATATTTTTTTCAATTGTCTTGTCTTCCTCCTTCGAAAATAGCAACTCACTTACTTTCCACTCAAAGGGTTAATAAAAGATTAAATACTTTAGTTATAGTAGATTGATTATGTTATTATTTACTATTTAGGTTAAACAAGATTTGAGTAGAATTTTAGTTAATGTATAAACTACCCTATGTTTAATTTAGTGGCTTTAGAGATATTATAAATTTAATTTTAAAATAAGTTTAACTAGCTTATGTTAATTATATGGTAGCTTCAGTGAATTAGATTCCATCTATTTAAATTTCATATTAATTGTAGTGTCTTTAATTATACATACTTATAATTTATTAGAGTTTGCGTTATGTAAGACATCCGTTTGGTGAAATTCTCTGTTAAATTTAGTTTCTTTCATCACTCATTTAAAGGTAAGAAATTTAGTGAATCTTAGTTAATTACATAGATTTTGCCTATTTTCCAACATTGAATTCTAGGAAAGGACCAAGCTAATTGCGTTTAGAAACCTCATTGAACTTCTTTTTTCTATGCATTTCAAGTAGTGGGATGTAGGAGTTTAAGATTGGAACCACGCATTCTACCGGTTTAGTCTAAGCTCAGAATCGTTTCTGCAAGGAATTGAGTTTGAACCAGTTAGAATTGAAATTGAATTGGAGGATCGATTTGATTTTTAAAGAACCAATCATTTTAAGTATTATCTAATTTTAATCTTTTGATCTTGATTGAATGATTAATATAAGATATTATAAATTAAAATTTTGAGAAAATATTATGTCTTCAATTTTTTATTTAAAATATTATTCGAAAAATTCAAAAGTTTTGTTTTAAACTAAAATATTATTCATTGAATTGATAAAAATGATATTAATACATCATTTAAAGTATATTGAAATAATTTAAATATTTATTACGACATCCGATTTGACCTCCAATTCAATCTCGACCGAACCATTAAAACTTAAGCTTTTCATTCTTATGGTACGATCTCCGATCTGATTTTCACAACCAAGGTGTAAATGGTTAGATGCATACCTCTAACAAAATATTAACCAAATCATGTTCAATGGACTTTAAAACCTTGCATCGCATCATGATTTTTAGGCCATGTTCTTAAACCTTCAATGGAGGATTAATCAAATCATCATCAATGGCCTCTAGAATCATGCACCAATCACTTTGGGACTGTGGAATGAAACAATCCTCTTACTTTACTAGAACATAGTTTCAATTAGAAACTAAACCGTGTAACGGAATAGGATCAAACTGATTAGAAAAAACTGGAACAAAATTACGAACACCAATTTAAAGCACCAATATGCGATAGGCATTAAAAAAATGAACAAAAACTATTTTTATAAAGCACCAATATGCGATAGACATTAAAAAAAATCATCTTCCCATTAGGGCTGTCAAAAAAGCTCATTGTTCGCGAACAGTTTGTGTTCGGTTCGTCAATGAGTTCGTGTTTGATTCGTTCGATAAGTAAACGAGACAAACGCGAACAAATTTTTTTCGTTCGGTTAGTTAAACGAACCAAACACGAACAGTGATGCGTTCGTTCGTGTTCGAATCGTTATTGTTTGAAATATAAAATAAAATAAAATAATTATATATAAAAAAATTTATTATATTTTAAAACATTAAATTTTATAAATTATAATATATAATAAATTAATAATAATAATATATTAATATACTATAGTAGTAATATACTAATATAGATATTATATATTTATATAATATAAGTTATATAATTAATATATAATATTATTTTTATATATTAATATTAGAGATGTCAAATTAGCTCATCGTTCGCGAACAACTCGTGTTCGGTTCGTGTTCGGCTCGTTCGTTAAGAAACGAACACGAGCTTATTTCAAACAAACTAAATTTTAAACGAACCGAACACGAACACAAGCTTTGTTCGTTCGTGTTCGGTTCGTTTACACCCCTACTTCCCATAACTCAAAATTGAAACACCAATGATCATGAAAAATGAACACAAACTATTCTTTTGAGAGGCAAAAATTTTGTGTTATATCTAACAACTCTTAAATGATATATGTATATCCAAAAATGAATTTCTTTAGGCAACATTAAAGTCCTAATATAAAATGGTTTCATGGGCTTAATGGACAGAGCCAATTGGTCATAAATTTATTGGTATGAAACTGATCAGTTGTGAGATATACCAGTTGTTGTGGAATATATATATAACAGAAGAGCGATCGACGACGAAATGAAAAATTGAACGAGAAAATTCATACCAGAAAAAAAACAACAGCGGAACACACAGATTTACGTGGTTTGGCGAATTGTCTGCGTCCACAGAGTTGCAGAGGATTTTACTACTTGAAGAATTTACACCAGTCGATCGTCTCGACTTACAAGAGGAATCTCTCACTTCGTCGCTCTCTCTTCTTCTCTCTTCTTCTCTCTCTGTTCTTCTGTTCTTCTCTCTCTCTACACCAAGATACACCGAATAAATTCAACATCGAAATACACCGAAGAAGATAAACTTACAAGAGAAATAAACTCAGTTTCTCTTCTGTCATAAGCTACAAAGAAGAAGTCAAGGGAGAACAATTTTCTTCTTCTCTCTTATTCCTTCTGTCGCAATGAACTTCTTCTTGCACTTTCCTTCCTCTATCCTGAAGAAGCCCAAAGAAGAACAAAAAAAATCGTGACTTTGTAAACCATAAGACAGTCGTTGTGATGCCTTTTAACAGTGGTAGGAGATGCCACTCTTCACGAAAACAGAGAGCGGGATTAGTTGTGACGGGAGGCGGGAGTGGTTTCGCGAAAACAACAGAAGCTTTGTTTCAGTTCACGACATAGGGAATGACACAACTTTTGTGATCAAAAGCGGGAACATGTATCAAGATCGACTGGGAGCAGGAAGGCAGGATCGACGAAAAATCCTATCGGGCTCTAATTAACAAATCTCCCACTTGGAGACTGATACACATGCAACAACATCTCCTTTCTCAAATTGATATCCTCCAATAGCGGTGTCGTATTTTTCTTCAAACATGAATCCTCCATTTCTGCAACTCAAAGCCTCTGTCTTCACTCCAAAAGGCCAACTGAAGTTGTACACAACTTCAGTTTCTCAAAAGTAACACCCTCAGTCAACATATCAGCAAGGTCCACATAGTCTTGCACCTACAAGCTATTTCCTAAATTACTCTTATCTTTGATTACAACTCCCACTGCATGGGAAATATTCTATCTCTGCTGAAAGTCTTTTTCAACAAATATGGCCTTGTACCTCTTACTGTCATCAAGCTCAGTCTTCACATGGTACACCCGTTTGTTGTGTAATGTTTCATTTCCTGGTGAAAGTTCTGTTAACTCTCATTTGCTCGAACTTTCATCTTGCAAGATTTTTTCATAGCTCTGTGGTTCTCCACCATCTGTTTGTGGAACAATAGGAATGGGTGTCTCAGATCCACTCTTCTCTTCACTTCCATCATCAACAGAATTATGAATTGCCAACAATAGTGCATCCTATATTTCTTTAGATATCACATTTGCGCTATTATTCTCCATATTCTTATGATTCCTATAGTTTCTCTTTATGTGGTCAGCCTTGTCATTTTTCTAACAGGTTGTCTGCTGACTAGACTTTGATTTTGATCTCCATCTATTTGAATGTCTGATTTGTCATCTCCCTCTGAAATTAACATTCAGTGTTGAACTCGAACCTGAGATCTCGCCAGAATCTTTCCAGTGCACCACCTCAGCCAAAATCAAATCACAAATATCATCACATTTCAATTTAGATTTACTTGCAGAACTGCTAATTGTCATCTTCATGGCTTCCCAACCATTTCACAACGATGCCAACAATATCAGTGCACGTATCTCATTATCATATCAAAATCAATTTAATCAATTTCAATAGACGACAATTGATTTGTGATAGTATTGAAATCATTCATGTGTTCAGCAACAGAAACACCTTCCGCTATCTTCAAATTAAATAATTTATTTATCAGATATACCTTGTTATTCGCCGATGATTTTTCATACATACCTGATAAGGTTGTCATGAGATTTACAATCGTTTTTTTTACGACATTGTGTGCAACAGACCTTGATAAGGTCAATCAAATAACCCCCATAACTTATCGATCCAACAAATTTTATTCAGCCTCATCAATTCTTTTAGGTCTTTTCCCCAATAACGAAAGATGAAGTTTCTTCCCATAGAGATAGTTCTCTCTATGCATCCTCCAATAACCAAAATCTATGCAATCAAATTTCTCGATCCCTGAAACCTTCACTTCATCTGCAGCCATCTTTCTTCCTCAAATCCAAACAAAGCTCTGATACCAGTTGTTGTGAACTAAGATATATCAGTTGTTGTGAACTATATATAATAGAAGAACGATCGACGACGAAGCGAAAAATAGAATGATAAAATTCACACCATAAAAGAACAATAGCGGAACACACAAATTGGTTCGGCGAATTACTTACATCTACAGAGTTGCAAAGGATTTTACTACTTGAGGAATTTACCCCAGTCGATTGTCTCGACTTATAAGAGGAATTTCTCACTTCATTGCTCTATCTTCTTCTCTCTCTTTTCTTCTCTCTCTACACCAAGATACACCGAATAAACTCTACACCGATAAACTCTACACCGAGATACACCCACCGAATAAACTCTACACCGAGATACACCGAAGAAGATAAACTTACAAAAGAAATAAACCCAAATTCTCTTCTGTCATAAGCCACCAAGAAGAAATCAAAGGAGAATAATCTTCTTCTCCTTTCTTCTTCCTTCTGCTGTAAGGAACTACTTCTTGCACTTTCCTTCCTTTATCCCAAGGAAGCCCGAAGAAGAACGCCAAAAACTGTGAATTCGTAAACCGTAGGAGAGCCACTACATCCTTTTAATAGTGGTAGGAGATGTGACTCTTCACGAAAACAGAGAGTGAGAGTAGTTGTGGAGGAAGCGGGAGTGGTTTTGCGAAAACAACAAAAGCTTCGCATCGGTTCGTGACAGTGGTAAGGACACGACTTTTGCGATCAGGAGCTGGAGCATGTTCCGCGATCGACCGGGAGCAGGAAGGCAGGATTGGTGGAAAAATCTTATCAGGCTCCGGCTAACATTCAAACTAATCGTACTTGTTAATCATACCTTTGAAAGTGACAATCCACATAGCTCATTGTCGCCAAGAAGAACCCTACGAGTACCTCCAAAGAAAGTCATAACTCTAGCAAGTTCCTCAAAACGAGCTCGCTAAGTGAAAGTATTCAAGCAAGCTACTCTAGTTGAGCTCACTCACATTTCTAGGGTTCTAATTCCAAGCTCGCAAGGACTAGTCGAACCTTCTCATCATCTTCACTGAAAGCTAACTTACTAGACCACTGAACTCGACGGACAATATTTCAAGGCAGAAAGAAAAGAACTCTAGCTAACACAATTTATTAACAACATGACAATACACATAGGTAGTTTTATTAAAAACGAGTCTGCTCAGGCTCTATATTGTACTGCCTAAAACATAGTTTTATATTTCACCCTTTAGACCCCTCAGTGGGTATGTTAACGACATATAAATAAGCGTCACATGTACGGTCCGACCACATGTCCCATTAAATTATTTAGTTTTTCATATTCAGTGAAGTCTAATCGTACACGTTGCTGTTAAAAACGACAACAATAAAATAAAAAATGTAACAAGTAAAATTGCACACAGAGAAAAATACCAGAGCGACACACAGATTTACGTGGTTCGATAAATTTGCCTACTTCCACGGAGCTGCAGAGGATTATTTCTTCGAGGAATTACATCATCGAACGCCTCGACGTTTACAAGAAAATCTCTATTTTCTTCTCTCCCTTCCTCTCTCACTCTCTTCATCTCTTTCTCTTAGCTCTCAAGAGTACTTGACTTGACATTGTTTGGTTTGCATTTCCTTTAAAAAAAAAAAAACTATTTATAGAAATCATGAGAGTGATAGGTGAGAGATAGCTGAGCGGTAGGTGGGGTGTGGTAGGTGGGTGTGTTAGGTGACAGTATGTGACATACTTAATTAAGAAACTAATTAAATTCGGTGGACCGAGTCTCCACATTACCCAACACACGTAACATATTATGATCGGAGTCCTAAATAATTTTGTTGATAGTAATCTTTTTTCTTGAAATTGGGAGAGTTCTTATTCATCATCTAAATGCCGCTCATTTGGATTAAAACTCGTTTATGGCCGCTCAGGCATCAACCAATGCCATCTTTACCACTGTTCCTTCCTCTTTTTCATATTCCTCACCTATACGCCAACCAGACGCCGGCCGACGCCGGTTCGTGACCGGGATTTCAAGGCGTATATCCGCTCGACATCGCCGGAGAGGCCGGAAAGGCAGGCCGGACGACAGAGAGGGGATGGCGTCTTCAAGCCGTGCCTCGCCTCCGCCACTCTGGCGGAACGAGAACGGCGGGGGCCTCGCCGCTCTGGCGGAACGAGAACGGCGGTTCCTTATCCGTCATTGGATACGACGAAGAGGAGGCGTTGCATCCTGCTGATCGGAATTTTGGTGGTAATGAAATGTCCAACTCTGGTTACGGGAGCGGTGAGTTGGAGTCGAGTCTCCCCTTTTTGTTAGGATCGGTGATTCTATTTTTATTCGGGGTTTGATTACTTGAAAGTGGGATTACTGATGATAGACTGGTTAGTTGATACTTGGAATTTTGTGGATTATGCTAAAATTTGTCTGGTGTATATCTCGATTTAAGCTCGCCTTTTTTTAAGTATATGATAGAGTAAATCGGGAGTTAAAGTGAACCTGATTGTATAATTACTGGAGAAGGTGGTTCTTGGTTTTTGCCTTTGAGAACAAAGTAGAAAACTGAAAGAACACAAGAAGATCACAGTAGTAACAAAATTTTATTTGATTTGGAAATTAGTCTTCTGAAATCTACGTTAGCACATATTTTACTATAGTTTTTAAGATTTTGATTAAAGGAGACAACACCTTTTAATATAATGTTTAGTGCTCATGAAAAATAATAGATTTGCCCCAAAATATTCTCTGAATATACCATTGATATAGTTTCTGAGAACTGATAAGGGCACGGTTCCACTTCATCAATGCTTAGCACTGTCACCAGCTATTTGTATTTTTCTAGAATTTATAATTTACTAAGTAGTATTAATAATTGATTTGGTACTAATAAATTATAGAATTTTCTAGTTAGTAGTGTAATTGACACTGATTGTAGTTGATTGACAGTTTTGTTAATTTTGGTTCATCAACTGTCTGTTAAAAGATAATTGATGTATCAAGAACGGAAAGTATTAAAGTTAACCTGAGAACTTCACAATACTATTGGTTTAATTTAGTGGTGCAAGTAAGCCAAGCTAGCTTGCAAGCTTGCTTGAGCTTGACTCACTAACAAATCCATCATTCGAGCTTATTGAGCCTAAAGCTCGAGCTCATCTTATTACTTGTTTATTAATCAGGCTCAAGTTCGACTTTTGCCTGATGTGATTTGTTCAATTGTTAAGCCACTTGAAAAACAAACCCAACTCATCTATGAAGCCAAATCAATATGTCACAATTAGGGGTGCCTCTTTTCATTTTGATATATTTGAATCATCTTTGAATGAGATTGAAAGGGGTATAAGAAGATGCATGGATGTGCCATATCATTTAATAGCCCAAGCTAATGTGATGCATTCCACAAGTTGACTTGAGATTTAATTATTGCCATATTAGATAAACCTAGATGGATTAAAATAACTCACTTTACATACTTAATGTATTAAGGGAAAAAAAATAAATATCAAGAAAATTAGTGCTAACTAGAGTTTAAGCGTCTTGGAACTAATTTATACTGATATTTGTGCTCTTTTTTCTACAATTTATTGGAATTACCAAAAATATTTGTATTACTTTTATGGATGATTATAGCCAATATGGATACTTATATTTGATATAAGGGAACTCAAAATTGTTGAACATGTTTAAGATTTTCCAAGATTAAGTTTAAAATTAGCTTGATAAGAAAATAAAAGCTACCAGATCTGACTGTGGAGATGAATATTATGATAGATCAGGTGAACAATGTGCAAGTTTTTGCCAAATATTTGATAAAATGTGGCATTATTCGCAGTACACCATTTCAGAAACTCGAAGTCATGCAATAAAAGGCAAGTGAAAGAATGCACAAACTTGGAGAGAGCATGATCGCTCTTTATGGAACTTGAATCTAAGAATAGGCAGCCCCATGATTTAGTAGCCAGCGCCATTAGCTATTAAAAAAGGGAATGATGGTCTACACCCGGTTTATTAGGTTCACTCGTTTATGTGGTTGTCTTGAGTTTTTTTTGCACCAATATCTTCTCACAAATTCCTCAACTTAGTGTCCCAAACTTGTCCCTAGGCAATGCTCAATTTGTTTTACTGGAATTCAAATGAAGGTGATAGATTGGGTTCGTGTGTAGGGAGATAGAATATACTTTTAAAACTCTACCATAGATAAAAATGCAGTGGGCTTGATATTAGGAGATATATACTTGAAACATGATTTTATATATAGAATTTGAACTATTTTCATTAGGTTTATCGGTTTCTCTCTGTTTGTCACTTTTATAAATATACAATATTTTTATATTTTAAATCATATTTCATACTTACTATGGGGTTGCTAATTTATTTAATGATTTTATGAAACTTTAGTAAATAAGACGATACCGGAGTTAACCAACAATAATGGAAAAAATAAATATTATTATTGAAATCAAATAGAAAATTACAACAACACAAAATAGAAATACGACACTAACTTCTACTATGGTTGGATCCAAGGGGTGTTGGAGGTGATTGGGGAGAGTCTGAAAGGTGGTTGGGTGGTATGCATGCAGGAATAGCAGGAAGTTGTTTCCGAAGTTCTAGATAACAAGCATGCGGCATGAATCGATGCAAGAGGGCTGTCCGGAGCAGTGGAAACAAAGGAGCGAGTGGCTTGGGGTTGGTAGCAATGAGGAGGAAGGGGAGGAGTGGTTGGGAAGGCAGGAACAACAATGGGTGTCTGTTCCGGGGTGTTGGGGAGAGGTATAACAATAGTTGGAGCGATTTTATAGGAGTAGAATTGCTTCCTATGAGTGGCCGCAATGAGGAAGAAAGGAAGGGAGGTGATTGGTAGGGTTGAAACTGCAGGTAGACAACAAAGAAACGCTCTTATGAGTGGCTGCAACAAGGAAGGGGCGGTTGGGAGCAGTATGGGAAGGATGCAGAGGGGTAAAGGGAAGAATAAGCACTACCTCAGGAGCGAAATATAGCGGAAGCACCACTCGACCCATGAATACAACCCTAGAAGGCAAAACCTGAGACGCTAGCGGCTGTCCCGAACAAAACACACTAAAATTGCTAATCCAAACTCTATTACAACACATATATAGGAAATGACTAGAAATGAGGGAATGATAAAAGTAAACTTGTTGAAAATTAGAAGGAAATCACAAGGTACGCAGTTTGGTTCAACTCTGCACCGCTCGCACAATTTGGATATCGCGTCCGGTCCAGCAATTGGAGATGCCCGAGCTAGTCTCCCGGGGTTATGAGTTCTTCTAACTCTCCTGTCAAAACTTATGTTTCCTTGTAGTATGGTGTTAGGGCGACCACGTTGAATGTGGCGGAAATATTGTACTATCTCGGTAAATTAATCCTACAGACGTTGTCATTCTAAAGCACATCCTGATAGAATAAGTATACATATATTTTTTGACACAATCTGAGTTGGAGCTGCATATAGATGTAGATTTTCACAAAATAAATTTCGAGCCTTTAAGTTTGTAATTTGCCTCTTTCACTCATCTTACCCAGCAGTACTAAAGTACTATCTTCTTTCCACTAAAAAGAACTGGCTGGTTGCGTTTTGTAGCGCGTATACTCTGATCCTCTTCTACGAATCTACAACTCTATTGACTTAGCGAGACTCCATTGATATCCCTAAAATTTTCTTTTTTCTTCTATTCTATGATTGAAATGATAGCTTCAACTAGGCTCCACTTTAGAGATGGTCTGAAGAAAGATAGGGTCAGGGGCGCGACGGAACGGTAACGCATCCGATAACTCTAAACTGAAATCTATGGCAGACTTGGCAACTCTCACTAGCATCCCCTCAGGGGAGATTTCTTATTTTTGGAGGAACCTGGATCTCATTATATGATTTTCTTTCTCCCAAAGCTCCTAAAACAATTTCTAATGCTTGGCTCATCCCTCCTGTCTGAGCATCTATCGATTGGTATATTGTTAACCTAAATTTAATACCCAAATGACTCTATATGATTTTCCATAAGTAGCTCAAAAACTTCTCATCTTTAATATGTCGGATCTCCCTGAGTAGTGAAACACAAGTGGTGGGCTATATATCTGGAAAGTTTAAAATCTTATTATTTCAGGTTACCCTTTGTCTGACATTGGCTCCCAAACTCATGAACCTTTTGAACATCTAATTCCCATCTTGTTGATGCTCCTCTCAAGGTCTTCAAAAAGGTAGTTCTTGGCACTACACCCTTATATGCTGCATGAACGCTCATTACCTCAGACTCACTCCCTTCTAGAACAATTACCTGTAATCCCGTTTAGGTACTGATGAGCTCAACTTAAATTACACATATCTCTTCCTCATGAGTTGGTAGTTGGTACTCTTCATTTGCGTTTACACTTTTTCAGTAACTATTATTTCATTGTTCATTTCTTCAACTGCTCTCAACTCAGTGAAATAAACTATTTTTTTGTTTGGGCTATCTGATGCACTTTGCCCAAAATTGTGGCACTTGACACATTGTTTTTGTTTGGAGGGATTTGACAATGTTGGTTGGCTTTTGTCTGTTGCTTAAAAGTGACTTTGACTAATCAAATAGATCAAATAAGGCGGAGGTGAGTTCCAGTCATGGATGAAAGTCCCCAAAATAGATATCTAAGATAGAATCCCAACTCACTTAAGTGACTGAATCTCAGCCACTAGTGGCTTAAACCTCACTCTCTGGATTCCTTGACTAACTTCTCTTTCTTCTTTCTTGGTTTCTTCTATTATAGCGCCTTTTTCGACCAGCCTAACTGGAGGGGCCCGCCACTCTGAATTAGTTTCTCCTTAGGTGAGGTCGGCTGTCGGCACAAAAAAGAAGAGGTTATTTGGGGGTCGTCCATAAGAAGCTGTCGACAACCGGAATCGAAATCTCATCGCCCGCTTCGGGAGAACATTTTAATTTACGTGTATATATATATATATATA